GTTGGATAATATATCTCTTATTACACTGTAGATGTTTTGGTGTGTTAAGTATCACTATATATTTTTACTCGTTGTTTGTTTTGACTCGCCCTATGGGCTCATCAAAATACAGCACAACTTGTAAAAATATATAGAGGATATTACACGGTGGCGAGAAGATATGAATTTTATGTTCTTGTGGCAAGAACAAATATCTCATGAGTGAGTGCAGCGAGCGAGTGAGATATTGTTCTTGCCACAAGAACATAAAATTCATATCTTCAAGCTAACGTGTAATGTTCTTTTTATTATATAGACATACTGATGACAGCGTTTTTGATGATTTTCCAAAGATTTCCAAACACTTTCCGAAGATTTCCGAAGATTCTCCAAAACTCGTCTGAAGGTCACGTGAACGTTGTGGAAGATTTTCCAAAAATTTCTGAAGATTTAAGAAGATTTCCGAAGACTTTCGAGGAAAACCCGAACATGTTTCAATGATACACCAACGAATTTCAGTACAATTTAAGAAACAAACTTGATATCAGTGAAATCATCGATATCTTCACCAGTGAGGATATGGAAAATACGCCACTCGAGTCCCGGATGTGGTTTCATATGAATTTTACGAGTGGTGTATTTTCCAGTAAAACACTCATGTCTGTATAATAAACAGTGATACTACACACCAAAACATCTAATAAGATATACCGGTATGTACATAACGTACGTGTAAATCGAGAGGTAAGGCATATTTTTTTAAATCAGAAAGGTTAAAGCATGACATCGTCAAATTGATTGATATTAATTTTCATCGATTATTCATCGATTTCACGATTGGTCAAGCCCACAGCCGACCAAACAAATAAAAATTAACTGCACAGAGTTCTAAATTGGGTAATAATGACACAGCACACACTGTAAGCCAATGGGAAAAGCATGGCTCGCATGCAAATACCATCTTCTTGAAAGCGAAAGCTAGGCTTATTTACTCTGTCNAATGTACGTGTAAATCGAGAGGTGAAGCTTATTTTTTTAAATCGGAAAGGTTAAAGCATGACATCGTCAAATTGATTGATATTAATTTTCATCGATTATTTATCGATTTCACGATTGGTCAAACCTACAGCCGACCAAACAAATAAAAATTAGCTGCACAGAGTTCTAAATTGGGTAATAATGACACAGCACATACTGTAAGCCAATGGGAAAAGCATGGCTCGCATGAAAATACCATCTTATTGAAAGCGAAAGCTAAGCTTATTTACTCTGTCTGTGCATTCTCAATTGCGATGGAGCTTTCATGCACTTCTGTTAAAAACATGACTCATTAAACTAGCTTAAATATCAATATCAGTCTTACGCTAACCTTCCTATTGCAAAAAAGAGCTAAATATTGTTTAATTAGTTCCCGAAATTAAGTGAAGACTACATGATGACATTTAGCATACCTCAATGACGTCCTCGACCACCGCGGCAATGGATCGCAGAACCACCAATCTCGATGATGAGTAACAGTGCAGTCTTTACATAACAAGATTATCTATTTTTCTCATCTGAGGGCACAAAAAGAAGCGTACTGAGATTACACGCCGTCTATAAAAGTGACAGCGAAGCACCTCGTCGCACTTGGTAGGCACGTCAAAGAATTCACGGCACGCAGACGCTCTTTGGGAGCAGACGCTCTCACGCAAGATTGCGTGACGAGCCCAAAGAGCGTCTGCGCAGGAACACCGCGGTAAAACGCACTGCGCATGAGTACAAATTTGAGCTT